TATAAACAAAAGAAATTACCTTCCCTCGCTGGCTTACGAGAGTCCCTCTCTCCTGACCTGAATTTTAAGTCCTGGCTTGGTTGTAGCGCAGAGCACCGATGATTTATGAAAAGCCAGCCACTTCTCTGCATATTTTCTCTGTTCAGCCAAGTGGTGGAATTTATCCTTCCTATACCATTACCGGCATTAATAATGGGGTGGTGAACGAGCCGGGCCAAACCCCAAGGGATCCCTCAGGCGGGAGCTGAGGCCGTCGCACAGACACCGGGCTCTCATCACCCACCGAGCAAAGCACTTTCTCCCCTTTTAGCAGGTGGGGAAACTGAGGCAGGGACCGCGTTTTTTTTGCTGCTGCTGCTCCCATCCAGGCTGGGGGGGGGGTATCAGCTAACGGGGGCTTTTCATAAGGACACGGCCTGTTGTTAAATACCATCCTCCCAGCATCATTCTGAGGATTAGAAACTGGAGAACAAGGTTGTTGGCTGGGTGAACACTGCCTGCTGTTATTATTATCATTATTATTTTTATTATTGTGAAACACCTGAGGGCTGTTGGCACGCTGCTGGGGCACCCCAGCCCCAGGACAGGACAGGCTGCAGGAGGCAATTTGGCTGATGCTGGCTGTCACCTCCCGCGCGGAGGGATGGAGGGGTCTGTGCTGGGGGATGGGGCTCAGGGGGGGCGGCCATCCGAGCAGGGATACCCCAATTCACCGGCCGGGGGCTTTGCCTGACCCCGCAAACACCCATCTGCCGCTGGGTGCTGGCGGAGGGACCTGACGGCTGGGGAAAGCACAGGGGCCGGACCCAGGCTGTGGGACACCGAGGTGGCCTTGCAGGGAGCAGCTGGGTTCAGCCCTGCGTTATCCCGGCCCTCAACCACACACAGCATCGGGGTCACCACTGCGCCGGGGTCAGGGTACAGCATCGCGACCAAAATGAGCATCCCCATCACAACCAACGTCCTGGTTGCAGCCGGGGTCAGGGTACAGCATCGCGACCAAAATGAGCATCCCCATCACAACCAACGTCCTGGTTGCAGCTGGGGTCAGGGTACAGCATCGCGACCAAAATGAGCATCCCCATCACAACCGACGTCCTGGTTGCAGCCGGGGTCAGGGTACAGCATCGCGACCAAAATGAGCATCCCCATCACAACCAACGTCCTGGTTGCAGCCGGGGTCAGGGTACAGCAT